ACGCGCCCCATCGTCGAGCCCTGCCCCAGGCCCGTGTGCTGCGACCCCTGCGGCCTGCAGGAGGGCTGCTGCCGCCCCATCACCTGCTGCCCGTCGTCGTGCACGGCCGTGGTGTGCAGGCCCTGCTGCTGGGCGTCCACCTGCTGCCAGCCGGTGAGCGTGCAGGCTCCCTGCTGCCGCCCTCCGTGCTGCCAGCCTGCGCCGTGCCGGGTGACCTGCAGGGGCCCCAGCCTTGACCCCTGCCGCTGCTGAGCAGTGGGCTCAGGCCTTGGCGCAGGCAAGCCATGGAGCTCCTGCACAAGCCGGAGTCCCCTTTCTCCACCTAAGAAGACGTTGCTCCAAGCCACCAGGACCCCAAACCAACCCCGGCTCCTCTAGGAAGCCTTGGGCTGTGCTCCTGTCTTCCTACAGAAGTAACATTCTCCTTCCCATGTTAGGTCCAAGATCTGACGGTGTGTGTATTTCTTAATAAACTTCTCTTCCTTGCCCTCCTAAATACTGCTTGGGTTTTATTTACTCATGCTAATTTTGTTTTCATTAAAGTTTGGTACAATGAAAATAAGGCACGGTGTACCAGAGGCATTCCAGTTGAGTTGAAAATGTTCCCCTCTTAAAAAACAAGCAAACAAAGAAAAAAAAAGCCTCCTAGTGGATGAGTCTAATCCACTGCAAATCCACAACTAAAAAGTGGGAGCGTGAGAAACAAAATTGCAACCGGTGGAAGTTTAGGGGCAGGAAATATCATGCCAAGGGCTGGCATTGGGATGATGCTTAGGGAGACTCCCTATAAAACAGAAGCACAAAGCCTACAGAAGTCATAACTATGCATGAACTAATCAGGAGGCCATTGCCCTAGTGCAAGTGATGTGCAAGAACTGGGCTAAGGAGACAGCCAGGGAATAAAGAACACGCAATGATTTGGGCAGACATGGAAACCCTGAAGGCATTAACTGAGTTGAATGTAGGAAATGCGAAACAAGAGGTAAACGTGACTTATTGCAGTTCTTGGAAAACTCTTGGTTCTGAGAACAAAAGAATTTGAACATGTTTACTCACAGGTATTGCATTTAAAATTACTACTCATAATGTACCATGCTCACTCCTTCACATTTCTATTTTAAGCCATTATATTATATTCAAAATAAGAGGAGAAGAAGTTTTACTAATAATAATTGATTCTAGAAAACAGCATGGTACAGAATGAAAAGAACTGGTCTGGAAAGGAATTTTATACCCAGCTATTTGGGCTATTTTGTGTGAATGCAGAAAGGCACTTAACTTCTCCAAAGTGTATCCCTTCCAGACTCCATAGTATTCTGAGGAAAATTTAAAATAATGCATATCATAACACCAATGTTCCAATTTATAACTTTGAGGTTTGGTGGCTCAAGGGATTCATATCCTTGATTAATATCCTTGATTACTCTTTCCTGTTGGTATCCCACTGATTTGTGCCCTGGCGTAAGATATAAAACAGAAAATAGGGTGTTGCTTTCTATGTAACGCTTTAGTGCTCTGTGAACCATGGAATTAAATAAACATGTACTATGTACTCTAGGACTGATGTCAGTTTCTACACCTACAGTATGAATAATTATTTAAATGATTACATATAATCATTTTCAACTTCATAACAGCAGTCATGGTTATCATCTGACATGAACATCTTTATTGAAATCACCTGAGTCATATTCCAGTGTAATCTATTGCTGTGTAAATCATTACTTGCACCTCATAAAAAGATGATTCTGTGCTTCTATTTGATAGGAAATAAATAGTTTGTTTTTTGAACACCACTTTTTTTTCATTTCTCCTCAAGTGACCCTAAATATTCCGTGAAAAAAAAAATCACATCTTTTCATTTGGCAACGACCAGGAATTGTTTCAACTTTTCTTCTGCTGGAATTTATCTTGATCTTTATACCAGCTGAACCGTATTCGATCACCTATTTCTTAACTTGACTTACAAACACTTTGATACAGAAAAAAGTATTTCCTAATTCCTTCTTTTTCATTCATCGGTCCTCCCAAGGTTCACCTGTACAAGGATGTGTGGTGTGGCAACATCTGAAGCGATAACCTGAAAGTAAATCCTGCCTTTGAGAAATGCTGTCCAAATAATTCAGCTAGCAGAGAAGTGTAAATTTCACTTGTAATATTTTGTGATTTTTTTTCCAGTTACTGCATACGAATTTTAGTCCCTTTTTAAAATCAAATTGGAATGAAACAAATTTTATTCCATTTTCTCACTGAGTGATAAATATTTCCTGAATTGTGGGTGTCTGAAGTTCAGGAGAGATCACAGAGACTGGGGGAAGGCCTGACATCTGGAGAGATCGATGAATTTCTATGAATATGGGGTTTATCAGAGTTTCTACTTGGTTGATTGTAGAGACTATAACTTATCAATCTGAAAATAGAAATAGAGTCTTACAAGGAGGATCATCCATGGCCTAAAATTCTTTTCCAGAGAGGTGGAGCTTGATAAAAATGACCCTCAAATCACACCATCTAAAGGGTGAGACTCACCTGTCAGGTGCTACAACTACAAGCACAAAAGACTCAAACTGAGGCGTGAGTGGAAATTACAACATAGTTTGGAAATGAAACATTGACATTTCTACCAAGGACGAGCACATTTGGGGATTATTAGCTGAGTAATAAGGGCAAACCAATTTGGAGATTTTTTAAAAGTAACTCAACGTTTGAGCAGAGGACCCTAGGGAATCTGGTTGAAGGACTAATAAGACAAAAATGCTTCTGCCACAGGTTCACCCACTGACCATGGCATATAAAAGGCACAAGGTGCGCTGAGCAGCCATCATTCAGAAACTTCCCTTAGCAGCACACCTCTCACTCACCCCAACTCCTCACACCATGGCTTGCTGTGCTACTAGCTTCTGTGGGATTCCCAGCTGTTCCACCAGTGGGAACTGTGGTTCCAGCTGCTACCAGCCAAGCTGCTGCCAGCCAAGCTCCTGCCAGACCAGCTTCTGTGGAACCAGCTTTGGCCAGGAGGGTGGCAGCAGCGCCGGTGCCGAGAGCTACCGCACCAGGTGGTGCCGCCCAGACTGCCGCGTGGAGGGCACCTGCCTGCCCCCCTGTTGTGTGGTGAGCAACATGCCCCCAACCTGCTGCCAGCTGCACCATGCCCAGGCCTCCTGCTGCCGCCCCTCCTACTGTGGGCAGTCCTGCTGCCGCCCGGCCTGCTGCTGCCACTGCTGTGAGCCCCCTTGCAGCCAGCCCAGCTGCTGAAAACCTTCTTCTGATGGAAATCTTGAGAGATGGCACTTCAAAACTAACCAACGCTGAATCCCCAAACGCTTCTGGACTCCAATACCCATAACTTAGCTTGTACCCTCTCATTGTACACTACTCAGTTTTCCAAGAAGGCAAATTCATTTGCAGTAGATCAAAAATCTTCCATAGACCTGAATATCAACAGTAGTCCTTCCAGTGTGAGAAGGGACATGTAATATATTACTATAAGTATCATCTGAAATGTTTCAACAGATTACTGAGACTTGGATTTAATAAAAAAAACATTTTCATCTCTTCATTGCAGTCATGTTAGAACATTTTTAATGGTATTTGGGTATTGGAATTATTAAAAATCTCAACATGACCTGTCATTTTTGTTTTGTTATTTAATGTCTTTGAAACCGATTTTTCTTTGTTTTGCCACTACATGTCCCTGTACTCTGCAGCCAAAATATATAGTTTAAAGGACACGATTGTAGTTTAGAACTATTTCCCAAGGTCCTTACTTATGCAAAGTGGTAGGATTAGGGTTTTAGAAGATCAATTTTACAGAAAGGAAATGCCATTGAGCTTCCTAAGATGTGTAAATACACACTCACCATTCCTACATGAGTCCATATAATCCATCCAATGATCAAGATATACAAAAGTATAATACAAAATAGGAAGAATCATAGATACACGATAGTAAAACAATAGCACCAGACGTGAGGGCATCCTGATTCCTGGTCCAACCTTTGAAACTAACAGTGCATGACATCTTGGGCTAGTCCTTTCACTTGCCTGGGCACCTATTTCAAATCTGAAAGTTGAGTTGTATTACTTACAATGTCCCCTCCAGGCATAGACATAGAGGGGTAAATCTCTTCCCCAACAGGTGATACTAACAACGAATGCCCCAAGGGGAAAATATGCAGTAGCCATCTTGAAGGTTTATAAGCACAGAAGAGTATTAAAGGGACTGAGATGCCCAGCAAACCTCGATGACCATCACCCCCAAGCAGATTTAGCCAAGAAGTCCTCTGTGCTTATTTTACAGGTTGACATCCTGTAACACGAGCAGTCCTCAAAATATACTTTGGCAAATGATGGAAGGAATATCATTGATATTCGCACCATAGCTATACAAACCTCTCACATATTGTGAAGCAGAAAACCAAAGTTCATTACAGGGGTGGATTGAAACGAGCATGCTGCTGCCCATACACTAGCACCGTTCCTGTTCCAATCTGCAGAGGGTTCTGGAATAAAGCAAGAATGAATGAAAGGCACATGTGGAGGCTTCCACTCCATGGGATAAAGTCTTTGGTCCTAAAATCAGCATGGTGAGTCAGGACCTGAGCGTAGAGGAGTATGGGAAGCCACTACTTAAGTTATGGGTTATTCTCTGGCATGGTGAACTGGTCCTCCACTAGCACAGCTTCATTAGAATTAGGAAGAGGCAGCACCTTGGGATAAACACAGACCTGGGGCACCCAACTTGCACTATGGTGTGAAGGTCCCCTGGTACTCCTTTCTCTGATTGGACAGAGCCACATGTCAGGACACAAGTTCCAATCTACACTTGATGATTCTCCAGGGTGGACCACGTTCCCCTCATCCATAGTGCAGATCTCTTGTCTCCCATCAGGATAAGAAGGTTTAGCATTGATGTACATTTTACTTAGAAGGGTTCTAGCTCAGAAGCATCAAGAAGACTAGGTTGGCATTCAGGAGAACTGAGAAAGCTCTTGCTACTTGGTTGAAGAGAGAAAGTTGGGGGTGGGAGGAGGCTCTTGACATTGATCTGTTGTCAAGTCCAGGTCGCTATGATGGAGCTCAGCACAGAAGCACAGATGGTGTGCTCCTGCAACCGGTACATCAACCTGGTCTTATCCTTCAGAAAGCTAGGTATGACAATGACACCTGGGTTGGAGAACTGGTAAAATGGAGGTAAAGGAATTGAGACCCTCCAGAGATTGTGACTAGGAAAGGGCATAAAGAAAAGTAACTCAAGGGGCTGGGGATTTAGCTCTGAGGCAAAGCGTCTGCCTGGCAAGCGCAAGGTCGTGAGTTCGGTTCCCGGTACCGGAGAAAAACCAAAAAAAAAAAAAAAAAAAGTAACTCAAAACTTGAACATCTCTGTTAAGCAAGGGTCAAAGGTTTAAAAATAACAGAACATATCCTTTCATCGTGTGGTACTGGAACGATCTTGGTCCTTAATTTAAATGAAAACCAAAGAAAATAAGCACAGCCATTCTTTCTATGTCTCAAATTTCAAGGTATTGGCATTTTTACCAAGAAATCTCTGCATAGGAGTACCTGGCCCTTAAAGGGGATAGAAAATCTACCTGGAGAAACATCACGAATTGTGACATGTTACTCTATTTCCATGGAAACCAATCAAGAAAAAATGGGTTCAAGTGACGGGGAAAGATTCTATTTAAATTTTATTTTCCTGATTGATTTAGAGGAAGGAAGGAAATACTCAGATTAACCTTGGTTCTGTAAATGAAGAGTAGAATTCTTGAATTTTAAGTATTATATTTTATTCTCAGTAATTCTTTGGGGCAGCTAAAGATCACAAACATGAACAATGAGCTAAATTTTTCATGGAGGGAGATGTGGAAAACAACGCCATAGTAGAAAAACCTAAAATGAAGATCCAGCATCCAATGCTACCATCTCCAATGCTGTTACCAATAATGTATCTCCACCACGCAAATACCTTTGGAAGGGGAATATATATTTTTAGTATCAAAAATACTACTGAATTTAGATATGTATTAAATATCTTCTGAGATCATAATCATGGCAGGTACACATTTCAAATATCGAAGGTGAAAAACTAGTTCACCAAAGAAACCATAATGTTGCTTTGCTTAAAAAGCAACAAGAAACTTACAAAAAAATCCCATATTTTCATTCAAATTTGATGTGGGATTTTCAAACTTGTCTTAATTCTGACCTGGGAAGAGTTTCAACTTAAACTCAAAGGTGTCATTTCAGGCCCATGGGTGGTATTTTAATTCCACTTCTCTGTAATAGAGCCCGTGCTCCACGGAGACCAGGCCACCTTTAATTGTACCCAAAGAATTCATTCAACTTCACCTTCATTAGATGCTTCATTCAAACCATATAAACTTTATAGCCAATTAGGCTACTGTCTAACTTCTACAATAACCCACACACTGCAGTATAATAGACTATAATGTGTACATATGCGAAGTGCATGGATTTTATGCATCTAAGAACATGCTCCATTGGCAAGCCACAATTATGAGACCTAATGACAGCCCATATTAAGGTGGTGTATTCTTTTTGCCAGTTCATTTTCCTACAGACTACCCCTTCAAATCACCTCAGGTTGCATTTACAAGAAGAAATTATCATCCATATATTAACAGTAATGGCAGCATTTGTCTCAATATTCCAAGATCACAGTGGTCTCATGCTTTAACTATTTCTAAAGTTCTTTTACCCATGTGTTCACCGCTATGTGATCCAAACCCAGATGACCCCCTAGTGCCAGAGATTGCATGGATCTATAAAACAGACAAAGACAAGTACAACGGAATATTTCAAGAACGGACTCAGAAGTATGCCATGTGATGGTACCTTAAAACAAAAATAGCCTGCTTTATAGCTGAAATAAACTTTAAATTACTGCTTTAAAAATCTATAGAACATCCTGTGTGTCTCAGTCACTTTCCCATCGCTAAGTCACAAGACTGGAAACCTACAATTGAAAGGAGGAGAGCTTTATTTAGGCTCACAGCTTCAGTGGGTTCAGTCCATGCTTTACTAGCTCTAAGGCAGAAATGGCATTGTGGAAGGGCACAGTAGATGAATGTTCACCACACGGTGGTGAGAAAACAAAGAGGGAGAGAGACCCAGGGATAAGAATACACACTCAGGTCCCAGCTGCAGTGACCTGCGCCTTCTGACCAGGTCATACCTGTGAACATGAGACTCTGAGGGAGACGATTTCTTCCTCGCCCTAAGCCCTATCTTTTACTCTCAAAAACATCTGTAAGAAAGTAGGCATGTCTTCACATCTGACTTTCACCCTTTGATTTTCCTTCGAACAACTATTTATGTCAGAAAAAGAGGAAATTAACTATACGGTTGGGATTCAGATTTCAGATTCACCCTCTTGTTGGTGGTGCGGACTCAGGCAGTTACTTAAATCTTTAACTCGGTTTGCTCAGCTGGACTGTGAGAGCTGCAATGGTACCCATCCCACACTGTTGCTGTGACAGTTAGGTGAACTGATATACATAAGATATTCAGAACATTTTACGTACATGAACACTCTGAAAATGTTGCTAATGACAACCTACTCACTTTTCTAAGGCCCAAAGAAAGCACCTCCTTTCTGGCCAGCTGGATCCAACCTGGCTTCACAGTCACAGCGAAAACGGAAAAGGTCTGAGGAGACAGCCATCAATACTGGAAGTTGGGCTGGGGATTTAGCTCAGCGGCACAGGGCCTGCCTGGCAAGCACAAGGTCATGAGTTCGATTCCGGGTACCAGAAAAAAAAAACAAAAAACTGGAAGTCATGTTACTGAGAAACTGTCATTTGAGACCAAAGCCCAATTATAATGATAAACAGTGAGTAATAGGCACTCTTTAAAGGGGGAGCAGCATTACTTAATTATTCTTTGAATGGGGAAATTTTAATAAGTATGAGAGTTTAGGGCTTGTGTTCCCAATGAATGCTAGTGACTATATCATGATAAAGAACCCTAATTGAAGAGCAAATAAAAACAACTTTAAAAGGCTCTCAGAAGTCTGAACAAATAACTCAAGAACAGGTCAATTACCATTCAGAGGCAAATTATTTAAACACAAACAAGGAAGACACCGTAGGAACTAGGAAATTAGAAGCTGGTCAAGGATTATAAAAGGCCCAGTGCAGCAGTCACTACCAAACTCAGAACCTCCTCCAACCAGCAGAACTTTCAACCCAACTCCTCACACCATGGCTTGCTGTGCCACTAGCTTCTGTGGAATTCCCAGCTGTTCCACCAGCGGGAACTGCGGTTCCAGCTGCTGCCAGCCAACCTGTTGCCAGTCAACCTGTTGCCAGACCAGCTCCTGCCAGCCAATCTGCTGCCAGACCAGCTCCTGCCAGCCAAGCTGCTGCCAGACCAGCTCCTGCCAGCCAATCTGCTGTCAGACCAGCT